AGAGGGCGATTGAAAGTGACGGCTGACATTGAGAGCAAAGTCCTGAAAGTCCCCGAGGGGCCATTACTTGCCTCATTCCCTTGCGGATCAATGCAGGGACAAGCCCCCAAACAGACACTTTGAGACAGACTTAGTCGGAAGGCCTTCTCCTTCCCAGGTCTGGTTCCCCTGCGCTCAGCTCTACTCACCATGGCCACACCAGTGACCCATCAATTCTTCAAGTGTTCCCTTGCCGACAACTCCAGGCAGCTGACTCCAAGATGGTGGCTTTGGTACAGTTACTACTTTCAGGCCAGAAGTGTGTGTGTGTGTGTGTGTGTGTGTGTGTGTGTGTGTGTGTGTGTGTGTGTAATAATTTCAGGTCCCAAGCCATTCCTCAAGTCAGTCCTGCCCTGTACCTCGGAGTGAGCCCGAGTTCTAGGACATGGTACCTCCCAGGGCCAAGGCCCACAGATGCCCTGCTCTGTACTGGCAGTGTTTCACACACCGAACAAAGGTATCACGGGATCTCATGTCTTGGCCACAAGCTCATTAGTGAGAGCCATAAACAGCCCTCTTCTTTCCACAGGAGACATGTAGCTGCCTGAAACTGTCATTTGCCCTACTTCACTGAACGGAACCTACCTGACTGAGTGTGCCACGGCTAGGAGCTGTTTGCACCCCATCCCCAAATTCTTACGTTGAAACCCTATTCCTTAAGGTGATGGTGTTTGCAGGTGGTGATTAGGCTGGGCTGGGGCCACAAGGATGGAGCTCTCATGATGGGAGAGAGGAAGAGAAACTGACCTACCCAGAAAGAGCCCCTCACCAAGAACTATGACACGTGGCCATCTGACCTTAGGCATCTAGTGGAAATGTGCACTGTCTGAGCTCCAGGGATCTGGTAATTCCTTATAGTGGCCAGACCGTGTCAGATATGAGGCGCCACGCAGTTATTATCATCCCGGAAGCATTTAAAGTAAGCATGCTATTTATTTCCCAGTGCAACTCCTCCGATCTAACTAGCCTAAGGAGGAGGTTGTTACCGTCCCAACGCCAAATCTTAACCCAAAACATTCTCACGGTCTCTGTCAGACTCCAACTAGCTTGACCCCATCTACTCTGCAAGGTGGCCCCTGACCTTAGAGTCACTTTCTTCTGACGTCACAAGGCTAGCTCCGCCCATGCCATCTGCCTCTCACTTACCTGTGCTCCTGGGCAATTCCTGACTTTTTGACTAGAGTTGCCTGATGCCCTCACTTCGAATCTAGCTCTCCCAGGACAGGAATCACACCCTGCACTGTGGTGCTCACTAGAGCATCCTGGTTTGTGCAAAAACACTAGTAGACACTAAAGCTTCTAGGGAAAAAGTTGTGGAGAACAGACTCTGGTGCACAGTGTCCTAAGACAATCAAAGGTGATCACTACTCACTTTGTTTTGTTTTGTTTTTTGATACAGGGTTTCTCTGTGTAGCTTTGCGCCTTTCCTGGAACTCACTCTGTGTAGCCCAGGCCGACCTCAAACTCACAGAGATCCGCCTGGCTCTGCCTCCCAAGTGCTGGGATTAAAGGAGTGCACCACCACCGACCAACGATCACTATTCACTCAAAGAAAAACAGAGCTTTCCGAGGGGATGCTCTCAAGGTCCCCCCAAAGCCAAGCAGTCACACTCGATAGCACTAACACAAGGCTATGTATGCTCAGTCCTGTGCCTTCTCATGAGACATGGGAGGAGATGCACAGTATCACCTGTCCTTGCCTCAAACGTTCAACCTGAATCCAATCATGACAAATTGGAGAAACCTAAAGATGGACCTGTGAGACAACTGGCCTGGATGCTTCAGACAGTCCACATACTCCACAGGAGTGGGAGCTGTCATAGGGCAAGAAAGTGAAAGACGCTGGGCCTGGTGGCATATACCTCTAATTGCAGAACTTGAGAAGCTGGGGCAGGAGGATGGATATGAGTTTGAGGCTAGGTTATGAAGACCCTGTCTAGAGAGAGAAGGTGGGGGGAAGGGAGGAGGGATAGAACTAGCTAGGATAATGTGTGGATTCTGACTGGATTCCAGAGCTAGAAACCATGGAAGGACAGATAGGAACATTTAAATGCAAACTGTGCCTTTATATGCTAGGCAAACTCTCTTCCACCGAGCTACATCCCCAGGCCAAGAAAATCTCTTTAATAGTGTTATTTGAAGACAGCTGCTCAAAGAGACTCTAATTGCAGGTGATGTCTACTCTTTAAGACTGAACATCTTCAAGACAATGTACATCTTTGTACGTGTCTTAAATAACCTTAGCAAGTGGCCATTCCATGGGTGTGGTGAATGTCGTTTTGGTCTACTTTACATTGAAGACTTAACGCAAGGAATTAAAAACAAAACTGATTTGTAATCCCACCTTTAGCAGGGAACTCTGAACAGACAGAGCACTTCCCCTGTCCACTTACAGCCACCCCGACTCCATTTACTTCATCTGTAAAATGGGACGGAAGGCAGAGGCTAGAAACATGTCCAGCAGTATCCTCTGTCAGACTAGCCTAGGTTCACTGGCTTACACAATGAGCCAAACTTCGAGAACCCACCAAAGCCAACTGCAACCAAACCTGTTCAGCCGGAAGCTGCCCGCCCCGGAACTGATGAAAACCAGAGGCCCACAGCAGGAGCTGCAGGGGGCAGCCAAGGGACACCCTCCTATTTTATAATCCCGGAACTAAGAAAGACCCACACCATCACCACATTTTTAAGCACCACTGTCGAATTTTTTGTTTGTTTGTTTCTTGAGGCACTGGGGATCAGACCGGGGCCTTGCACACGCTAACGTAAGCTGCAGCACCTGGCTGAGCACTCCGTTGAGCTGAGTGCTTTTCCTGTGCTGTGTTCCAGCTTCAGCACAGCTCTCTGCCCTGAATGGTGCTGCTATTTTATAAGGCTGGGTGACATCCCTACGTGTACACTGAAGTGCTACAACCAGAATCCACACCCTGAATTAGACACCCACGGCCTTAAGCTGATTCCTGTGAGCAACATCACAGACCAACTGCCACGTGACCATCAGTGTGCAAACTGGGCTCTTTTGAGAGTGGTAGGAAGAAGTAGGGGACTGTTCTCCCTGACTCAAGAGAAGTCATTTGAAAACCTTCCCAGAGACATGGACGCCGTCCTGGATGGCCCAAGATGTCCATCTCTGTCTAGACTTCAAAATGCTTGTCATACTGGGGACGTAGTTCAGTTGGAGTAATTTTGTCTAGCACTGCACAAAGCCCTGGGTTTGGTTCCCACCACTGTGTAAGCCAGGTGTGGTGGTGCACACCTGTAATCCCGGCACTCTGGAAGTGGAGGCAGGAGGATCAGAAAAGTTCAAGGTCATCCTTAGCTACATATTGAGCTAAAAGCCAGCCTGGGCCACACGGTACTCTGTCTCAAAAGCAAAACAAACAAGCCCAACGTGGTGGTACATGTCTTTAATACCAGCACGTGGGAGGCAGAGGCAGGTGGAGATCTGTGAGTTCAAGGCCAGCCTGGTCTACATAGCAAGTTCCAGGCCAGCCAGAGTTACATAGTGAGGTCTGGCCACAAACAAACAAACAAACAAAATCCAAAGAAGCAAATTCCATAAAATCTCCTTGGAGCAAAGGTTTGGAAGCCTGACATGCCTATGCTAAGGTGTCTAATGCTAACTCAGATTAAGAACGTTGATATTAAAAACAACCCTTCATTTTCTAGACCTAGAAGTATACTCCCTAACTGACACTTCTGGGAGAGGCATAACCATCACTATCTGCCAGATCACCTGTAGGGAAAATATGGTCAAAGCCATCCATGAAGGGATGAGGACAAGAAACCCAATAATCACCATGGCGGCAGCAGCCAGCACCTACCTAGTGCCTCCTAAACGCTTCTTCCTCTTCTGTGAACCCATCCCATCCTCACATCACTCCACTCAAGTAAGAGCTATTCCCACCCCCCACCCCCCCCACCCCCGCTGCAGGGAAGAGGAAACAGAAGCCGGAGAGCTTAATCCCCTGCTCAAGGTCTCTGTGGTGTAATGCATAGCATAGTTAGGATTTGAAACTAGGTGTTCTGGTTCCAGAACCAGAACCTGTGGCTCTCCATCACTGTACTCTGTCATCTCTCAACAGGGAACCACGAGGCCTCTAACCTAAGGCTGGGGTGGGGGTGGGGGACGTGAGGGGGGGTGTGTGGCTATCAGAACAGGCCTTGTTGCTTCAGCCCCTGCACCACCACCCAGTCAGAAGCACTGATGTGTCCATCCAGAGGCTCAAGGATCCTGAACACCTTGCCCAACCTTATCCAGCAGGGTGAGGACGGACCCAGCATCCACAGCCCCACACAACTTAAAAAGGGACGCCACGGGCCTGTGATCCTGGCTGTCCCTTCCAGGAGCTCCGAAGAAGAGGAGAGGATGATAGGATAATATTGAATTATTATGGACCAAGGTTCTCACCAGCTCCCAGCACCGGCTTACGATAAACATGAGATACTACCTAGGCGGCGATGGGACACCTGTCCTGCTCTTCACGAATGAACGATCTGTGTCCAGTGCAGACATGCTGCAGGGTTCATCCACAGCAACTAACAGGCAATTCCAGCACAAAGAGATGAAGCACAGAGCAGGGCTGGACTTTGAAAACGGTCGGCCAAGCAGGAGCAGGGTCATAAAGGATGGACTAACCCAGGGACCCACCGACACAGACCTCAGAAGAACAGTCAGAGACAGAAACTGACTGCTGCCCACGGGTGGGAAGTCGGGGTGATGTGGGGAGGGGCAGCTAAGGGGTACAGGGCTTGTTTGGTGGGATGGGAGAAAAATGTCCCAAAGTTGACTGGGTGACAGGTGCAAAACTGTGCCTACACTAAGAACAATTACAATGCACACTTAAATGGTATGTGACTTGCCTCCGTGAGGTTACAAAAATGACGTGATACAGGTATGTGGTCCCATCTCCATACCACCCCCAACCACCCCAACTTATCCCAGGGAGTCGTATACTCACTTTGACACCTTCATGGAGTCGTCTGCCCAGCCTCCCTGCCTTCGAGGTGGTTTCGGTGGGGGAGCCTGTGTGAGGGAAGGCAGAATGACAATCACTCAGCTTGTGCCTCCCAACACCACAGAGCACCAGGTCAGGTCACCTAAACCAAGTTAGCCCACTGAAGCACTTCCCCAACAAAAATATGAAAGTAAATTCTAATTTACTATGAAAACCATGCCATCGTCCCTCTTGGTGGGTGTGGAAATCGGCACACTGTTCCTGATGGACGGCTGGCACCAAGACTTTTTTTTTCAGGTCTGGAGAAGTTCAGGGTGTCAGCCCCCCAGGAGGCACCTCCCTGATGGGTGAATCTCAGTAGGCAGGGCCCTGAGACCACAGACCCCCAATATGTCTTTTGCTTCTGCTGTGCCTTTACATGCTTTCCACTGCCATCGTTCTCTGGTATCTGGCATGGTGTGCATGGGTGTGGGGAGATCCCCAACTGCCTGTAATGTAGTGTGTTTATCTCATGGAAACATCCTGTCCTACTGGGCATTTTTACCTGTGGATTATTATTAAGATGATTCCTTCCTAAGCTGTACTGTCTAATTGATGATAATAATGTTAGTTTATACAGAGTTTTGATAAATAAAGATAAATACAAGGAAATGTTACACAGCTAGAGCCTTTGAGTTTCACCTAAGGAGCTGCATAGATCGAAGTTCAGGTTAATGATTAAGAAAAACAATTGAGTCCCAGTAGCCCAGCTAGTTTAAATTCTTCTAATCTTAATGTTGGGAGATGTGTTCATAAGTTTTGGGGTGCAACACAGCTGAAACAAAGCTTTGAAAATAACTCAGATTTAGACTAGGATGCTTTTGTCAGATACCTTTGAAGTGAAAACCCCAAGAAGACAATCTGAAGTCTTAGAGAGGCCCATGGTTGAGTGAGGAACTCTTTAAGGTCAGGGATCAGGAACAAGACAGAACAATTATTACTAGTTGATGCACCTTTCCTGCTAAGACTGGTTGATGACTGAAGGTGATGATTATTTCCTTGTACCATTTTTGTCCTCAGTCTCCTGATATAAGAAACTGTTGGTGAGTGGGTAGGTACCCAAAAGGTTTACAGTAGAGTTGACTGACTCTTTTTCATCTATAAAAGTGTAGGTTTGTGATTCCTTTAAGATTCCCTATAAGATTACCTTTCAAGATAAGCAATAAAGTAAATGGCCCTTTCTTTGTAACTGCAAAACTGTAGTTTGCCAGTAAAAGACCCGACTGAGAAGAATATCTTGCTTGCCTAAACGGTTAATCTGTAACAAGTTGCTTGGGTATGAATGTACGTGGGTTCTTGGGATACTTTTTTTAACCTGTAATAATCATGCAAGGGATATGGAAACATGCTGTTTTTACTGTTTGTTTCATATTCGTTATAATAATTCACTTGAAAAACAGAATGTAACCACACTGTAATTTTTATATTGCCTGAGAGATTTTGTTGGGGCATATAAGCTGTAAGAAAAAAAATATAGAGTTTAAATGAGAGTTAGAAGGAAATCAGCAGGAAAATAAAGAATAGAGAATGCAAAAGAATAAAGAAAAGGTCTGAAGGAAACCATCAAGAGAGTGTGAGTGTCTTTCCCCCTAACCCCCTCAGGTAAAAAAGTCTAGTTCCTGCCAACTCCGGATTTCCCTCTGAGCCCTGTGCTGATGGAGGCTGGCCCCTCAGGCAGTAATACCAGGGCCTCATTCATGCCAAGTACAAACTCTACCAATGAGCTGCATTCTCAGCGTGTGTGTGTGTGTGTGTGTGTGTGTGTGTGTGTGTGTGTGTGTGTGTGTGTGTGTGGTGTGGAGTGTGGTGTGTGCATGTAAGTGAGGGGCGGGGGATGTGATCCCGTGTATGGAGACCCAAGATTGGCTCTGTGAGTCATTCCTCAATGGTTCTCCACCTTGCCTTCTTCAGACAGGGTCTCTCACTGAACCTGGATCTCACTGATCAGGCTAGGCTGGCTGAGCAATGAGCTGCAAGGCTCTAGCTGTCTTTCCCCTGCTGTGGTTACAGGGCCATACTACCATTGCCCAGCTTCTTATGTGGGTTCTCAGGATCTGACGCTTTACCAACTGAGCCATCTCTCTAGCCTGCTCATGCCTGTGAAGGCAGTAATTCTTTTTTTTTTCTTTAAAGATGTCTTTATGTTTACTTTATGTGTGTGGGATGCCTGCATGTATGTCTATGCACCATATGTGTGCAATGCCTAACACAACCAGAAGAGGGCATCAGATGCCCTGGAACTGGAGTTAACAGATGATTATGAGCCACCATGTGGGTGCTAGAGGGATGGAACCCAGGTCCTCTGGAAGAGAAGCCAGTGAGTGCTCTTAACCGCCGAGCCATCTCTCCAGCCCTAAGATAGCAATTCTAAACCCAGAAACCTATCCCAAGAACATGAACACAAAGAACGCATGTCATTTCTGTGTAACCAACACTTGGCAACAACCAAGATGGACAGCAATAAGGAACTAAATAAAATGAAAGAATACATACAAAATAATATGCAAATAATGCAAAACTATGATATAGAAAGAATATCAAAGCTCATATACATTAATTAAATAAAACATAATTCAAAACAGTAGGAATAAGGATTTGATTTTGCAAAAAGACCATGAATACAAACTACTTAGCTCATTAGCTCTATGCACATGATAGGGACTCCCAATCATTAGCTCTATGCACATGATAGGGACTCCCAATCATTAGCTCTATGCACATGATAGGGACTCCCAATCATTAATTCTATGCACATGATAGGGACTCCCAATCATTAGTTCCATATACATGATAGGGACATCCAATCAAGGGTAACTTAAATTTTCCATCCCTGTGCTGCTATGAATTTTCTGACTTTTAATGGACTATTTATATTACTTTTATCAGAATAAAAGTAACAAAATGAAGATTCAAGAGTAAGGTTTGCTTAGCAGACATAAACGCGATACTGGCGGGTTCTACTTTCCTCAAGCTATTTGGCCAGGAAGAACTCCCCTAGAATGAGCACAGTCAGAAACCCTACTGCACAAATTCTTACCCAGCATGCCCTAACTAAAAACATCACCTAACAGCAAGCCTCCAAAGCACCTGAGGCGGAAGAAACAGCCCGGAGTCGTGCCCTATTTTAACCCAGCCTTCTTCCAGGAATGTTTTTTTTGAAATCTCGGTTTTCTTTTTCCAAGAACTTCACAAAATTCTAACTGTGGCTCTCAGTCCGGAGAGGGATTCTGATAAATGGCCTACAACAGGGGTCAGCAAGCTTCTGCGGAGGACTAGGAGGGAAGTATTCCTTTTGTGAGCCATGCAGTCTCTGGTGGAACTACTGAACTCCCATCCTGTGGAGAAATAAACTGTTTGGATACAAAGGCAAACGGGTAAAGCTGACTTTCAAAAACACAACAGAAACTCTAAAACCAGGCAGCGGGCCAAATGTGAGGGGAAGGATGTGGTTTGCTGACCCCTGGACCGAAATGTCGTGTCATTGTGACCTCCGTTCTGAAGCCTGATAGGACCATTTGAAGAAAACACCCTGTCCACATGCCTGCAAGCCTTTACGCTTTTGATGTTTTGTTGTTACCGTTTTGTTTTGGATTTGTTTTTCTTTTTCAAGACAAGGTCTCTCTGTGCAGCCCTGGCTGTCCTGGATCTCCCTCTGTAGATCAGAGCAGTCTGGCCTCGAACTCACAGAGATTCGCAGGAGTGCTGGGATTAAAGGTGTGCATTACCATGCCCAGCCTGTAGTTAATATTTGTTTTTTTAACATGGTGATGGGTTTTCTTTCCTACATGCATAGCAGTACCCCAGGCTGGCAAAGAAGTGTTCCATTTACATACAGGGCCTTTCTGTGGTATGAGCCAGGGCCTGCTGGAAATTACTGAGAAGGATCCAAGCCCTGGAATAAAATACCTACACCCACTGAGCACTTGGAAAATGTAGGGGACATGTTAGAAAGAAAAAACTAACTCAGCTTTCTACATTAGAGGCCAGCAACAGAGTCAGAAGGCCCTGCATGTCAATCCTACTTAAGGGCATCTTAAATACGGAAGTGGAATGGAAAACATCTACTGTTTGTCCCTGGAAGGGGAGGGAGAGACTCAACCATGTACTAAGGGACTAGTACACCCTTGCCTCTCCGTCCACCCACCGAGCCCATCTGTGGGTGGGAAGAAACAGCCATGCATTCCATGCCCCATTTTCCCTTAGACACTGCTGGTGAATCCCAGTGTCCTGGACCCAGGCAGAACTAATTAGAGCCAGGGACGATGGTGATGCATGCCCCTAATCCTAGCACTCAAGAGGCTGAAGCAGAAGGATTCCAAGTTTGAGGCTAGCCTGAACTACACAGTGAGACAAACCACCGCCAGGACCCAGCTGGATTTCCTGTCCTGGGAACCCAGGATTGAGCTGCAGATGGGGGTAGGCTCCTTCAGACAGCACTGAGCAGGGTATTTCCAAAGACCAACTAGAGGCAGGGTGACCCCAGACTATGAAACACCAAAGTGACGTGCAGAACCAAAGGACCTTGTCTTGTCCCTTGCCATGCGTAAGGCAGTATGCTGAGGGACATTTTGAACTGAACTGACCCACACTGAGGCCCCTTGAGATGTTTTAAACTGATATATGGCCAGGCAAGGTGGTGCATGTTTATGTCGGCATTTGGGAGTCTGAGTCATGAATTCAAGGCTAGCCTGGGCTACATAGAGACACTGTCTCAAACAAAGTGGAACTGGAAAAATGGCCCAGTGCCTAAGAGTGCTTGCTGTTCTAATCATAAGGACCAGAGTTCAAATCCCAGCACCCACGTAACAATCAGGGCATCTTGTGCACACTTCTAACCCCATCTCTGCAGACAGTGGAGATGCAAGGACCACGGAGGTTGGCTGACTTCCAGTCCAGCCAAGAAAACTCAAGCTTCAGACTCAGGGAGAGACCCTGCTTCAAAAGAAACAGGTGGAGAGTGATGGAGGAGGACGCCTGGTGCCCTCTTCTGGTCTTCATGCATGTGCACAGGTTCACAACCACACACACA